GCCATGCTCCGCCCACAGGAAGACGACCTGAGTGATGAAACCTTCCCTCCTCTTCCTCCTCCTCACTCCCCCGGACAGGGAGGAGGTCAGGAGCAGGGAGAGCTTTTTGGAGACGGTGAGGCTGCTGCTGTTAGAAGCTTTTACTAACAACAATATTTAACATTAAAATATATTTTTCAGTATTAAAGAGGAAATTGATGCTGTTACCTTGTGATCTGCCTCAACCTGTTGTTGTTGTTGTTGTTGTTGTTGTTGTTGCAGCAGAGGAAGGGGAGCTGTCCAAGCTGGCTGATGTTCCTGCTGCTAAACCGAAGGGAGTGAAGAGGCCACAACCCAAACTGGACTCTCAGAGGTGCCACAAACATTTCCTCAGAATGGAGGGACAGATTTAATCCTGAGTTTGTGTAAAAACACTGAGTTAAGCCTGAATTCAAAGGCTGTCCAGAGGACAATCTGTTGACAACATCTGGTTGTCCTAAACAAGAACAGGTTGTCTCAGACGACCTAAACACCTGTTGTGTCGACCCTGCTTTACGTTGTTAAAACAAACAACAACTTCCTGCTGAAGCTGTGGCAGAGCGCCACCATCAGGTACCTGTGGAGGAAACCCTGGAATCACTTCATCACATGTCAGGAAACAAGTTTCACATTTTCATTCAAATAACGGTTTTTAAACAATAGTACTTTAATCAAATTCACTCAAAGACAAATAAAAAACGTTTGTTGTTTTTTTAATTCCCTGCAAAAAATGCAACAGTTTAGAATTGATCCGATATTTTCAATCGAACAAGATTAAAAAAACAACTCTTTGTCTTCTAAAGCAAGAACTTTAACTTGATGAATAAGTAAAAAACAAACAGTTCACTTTAATACATGAAAATGTAAAAGTTGTATAACTTGGATTAATTATTTTAAGAGCCTCTGTAGGATAAAAAAAATCACTTTAGGTGGATTGTGACATTTTGTAATAAAATATTTAAATGAATGATGAAATAATAAAAATACATTTCATGTTTTCACATTTAATCTGTCCATGTTTGTCTGATTTGCCTGTTTTATTATCAATCAGGCAGTTTTTAGTACTTTTGGCAACAACAACATTCATAAAGTCATGAAGTGGACCTGATGTGAACGATGACGGTCAGACTCTGGTTTAACTCATCAAACTCAAAGTCTGACTTTCTGTAACTCTGAGTTATGGGTTGGACAGTTTAATTAGCCAAACTAACAGATTTATTAAATCCAGCTCATGTCATCATTTACATTTTTTTAAATATTTGATTAATAAAATCAATATTTAAATATTAATATTTATTTTAAAGTATTATTTGNATGTTTTGTGAATTTTTTCCAATAATATTTCAATGATTTTGATTGTGGATTTTTCCCAGAGGTCTTTTTCTGGTGCTTCCATGTCTTCTGTTGTCCTAAGAGCTCATCAACACTGTCCGTCTCCTCTAGTTTCACATATTGAAAAGAGCTCCACTCTTCAGACTGATCATCTGTGTAGTTGAAGCCGTTCCCATGGAACTGCATGTAATCTGCCTGTTCACTCAGCCTTTCATAGGTTGGACAGCTGTCGACAAACTGATGAATAAAATATCGGCCTTTACTCAGTCCTCGACTTGTAGCTTCACTGACCTTTTCCTTCAGATCAGTTAGTAAACTTTTTGTCTTCCTTGTCAGTATTGGAAATGTATTTTTTCTCCCTCCGTATACGGCCGGCTTCCTAAAGTTACTTTTTTGTTTTGTGTATGTCCCAGAAAAACTTCTGCTAAGTCTTTCATAAGAGTGGTTAAAGTAATCCATATGAAATCCTTGGAAATCGTTGAGTCTTTAATTATAAAGTTGTATCTACAGAGACGTGTACCTTCCTGTACTCAAATATTCTTCAACTGAAAAATTATTCAATCACCATGGTTACAGGAACAGAACTGTGACGTCATAGTGATGTCATCAAAAA